CAGAATGGGTCATTGACCCAGTCTGTCATTTGTGAAATTCAAGCGAATTGATAATTTTGCCCTCATTTATTCATTCACTACAATGATTCAAGGAATCACTATAAGAGTTTAGGTGTTACCTAAATTCGTATAGCGAATAACTATTCACTTTTTCATAGTCAGGTGTCTTGTTATTAACTACAACTAATGCTGTAATCATTAGAACAATGTAAGCATTACCTAGATTTGTATAGAGAATAACTACTCATTTTTTCATAGTCAGGTATCTTATTATTGTCAGGTACCTTATTATTAACTACAATGAATCTTGTAATCACTAGAACAGTGTAAGCGTTACCTAGATTTGTTTAGAGAATAACTACTCACTTTTACTCAGGGGTAAAAATGTCAATTCGCCTGAATTTTACAAATGACAGATTGAGTCAATGACTCATTCTATCATTTTTGAAATTTAAGGGCCTAATCTGGGATTTGGTATATTCCAAAGGCTTTTTCTGGAATGTTCCCTATATTTTAAGAATTGGATTTTAGTAAATTGTCAGACCTGAAATTTAAAAGAAAAGAATCAATGTCCCGTGAGGAACCAATCAGCGAATACGTTTCCGCGATCCCTGTCACGTCATTTCATCTTTTTGACCTTGGACTGTCACGTCATTTCATAAAACATTAAACATCAGTTTTTTTAAATATATTTTCTGGCCACACGCTGTTTAGTTTTAATTGGACCATGTTATTTCGATATATTCTATGGATGAAATTTCTAAGATCATAGACAAATATCAAAATCAATACATGTTTAATTTACAAATTATGAAAGAATAGGATCGGTTGTATTTTGAGTGCTCGTTTAGATTAACAGTAAGCAACTGTGATTTTAGATAATCATGAATTTTATAAGTAATACTGGTTAATCGTTATGTCTGTTTGGGTTTTTTTTTTAATAAATGATTTTAAGAATTGTGATTATATTTGGTTTTTATTTATTAAAATCACCTATCGATGTATAATTACTAAAAAAAATGAAATGAAATTAATATTTGAGGAGAGAATTTTAGAATAGAAAAGTGTGGGATAATAGATTGAAGAAAATTAATCAAGATTTTTCAAACGCATAAGCTACTCCTTATTGCTTATTCTAAAAACGCAGTAGAATGATAAAATCATGATTTATAGGGATTTTATAAAATTTACCCAAACAAGACAAACATGCTTTATTATTACTTATTTGAATTTAAACAGGCTTATTTGAAATCCTACCACCTAACCAAACAGGCTCTGCATGAATTATGTACATTAAGCTCGTCTCCAACATTTATGCTTCACATAAAGTTTAACACAAGCCTGAGCAACATCACTGATGTTAATATGTATTATTATTTTTTATTTTTAATATAAAAGTTAGTTGATTAATCTAAGTAGATTAAATAAATTAGTTAAATTAGTTATTTGTAATAAATGAGTATTATTTTCACTAAAATACCTTTACCAATAATATGTATTAGATAAAATACGACTTGATAAAACATTTAACATATGAATCGTTACAAGTTTCAAATAGTATCTTAAAAAAAAGATAAATATGAAAAAGAAAATCTTATATTTAAGATTAAATCAAATATTAAATTAGTTTTTATATTAGTTACTGGTGATAATAATAAATAATGTGATTTTACATAAGAGTTATTTGACTGATTTGAGTATGACTAATTAAATTAATTAATTATAATAAATAAGTGCTATTTTTCTTAAAATATCCTTGCTAATAAAATATATTCACGAGAACTATAATTATTATAACGACCATCTTAGAAAATAATAGATAAATAGGAGAGAAAAAGTAGATTAGAGATCTTATATTTATGACCAAAATAAAAATCAAACAAGTTCTTATATTAAGGATTGGAAATAGTATTTTGAATTATGTATGTTAGGCCCATCTTCAACGTTGCTTCACATGAAGTTTAACACAAGCCTGAGCGACATTATTGATAGATTTGTACTGCTATTTTTTATTCTTAATATAAAAGTTATTTGAATAATCTAAATAAACGAAATAAACTAGTTAAATTACTTATTTATAATAAATAAGTATTCTTAATAAAATATGTATTAACTAAAATATCATTTGATAAAATTTAACACATAAACCATTACAAATACTACTTTAAAAGTAAATGGATAAATCTAAAAGATAAAATATATTAAAATATTATATTGGAATTAAATCTAGCGTTAAATTAGTTTTTATATTAATCATTGATGATAATAATAAATAATGTGAGTTTACACGCAAGGTCAGAGACGTTAGGAGAGATGAAGGGGAAAGTGTTTTTAAACGCGTACTCCCGAGTGTGGACGGAGCGAATTGTCGTCAATTAGCGTCAAACGAAATGCACTACGCAGCAGCAATTCATTCCCGAGGCGTGTCAAAAGTGAAAACCCAAACCTTTCTCCGGTTCAGATGCAAAAAGTATCCTTACCCCGAGGCGTCTTCAACGCTCCCTGCGTGCATTTGTCGCGATCACGTTCGGGATCTTTTTTGCCCCCGTGACCGCATTATTTCTTTCATACCAAAAATCAAATATCACAACTCAACATTTTAACTTTTTCCCAACCAACGAACCTGGCCCTCTTTTTTTTTCCCCCAAAAAATATACAAACACTTGCACTCATAATTTGAGGTTTATAGCCGAATCAAACCTGCGACATCATGTTGAAATCCTCATGCCCTTTAAGCCCTTCTTTGGTTGGCTTTCCTCCCCAGCTTCACTTTATCAAGGTTTTCAACACATTACGTGTGCGGCTTGTAAGCTCACTTTATCGTCTCAATAAAGTTGTGCAGAGACCTCTTTTAATAGCTCAAAAGCTATCGACATTGTGGGTCATCGATATGAATTGGTGATCTGTATCTGTAGTGTCGGATTAATCAATGTCGTCTCTTATATTTTGACACTTTAAGTAGTGTTGGATTTGGTAGCATTGCGGTTGATTCGAGATATGACTCAAGCTTCAGCTAGTTTTCGAAATGCTAACTGTTATGCTTTTTTTTTTTTTAATTTTCATCAATATTATGTTGTTTCCTTGTTTTAATAATGGGCCAGCCTTCTCTTCTAGTTTGTTTGGGCTTTACTCAAATTAACCTTGACTAAAAAAAGGCCTTCGAGTTTTTGGGGCAAACTGCGTAGATGAAGCTTGTTTGGAAATCCTGAACTTATATTTACCATTTGAAACAACTTCCTTGATACTTAAAAAAAAAAAAAAAAAAGAATCGACACTCAGCAAACCTTTTTATTTTTAAAAGGAACAAAATAAAAAAGTTTCGGAAGGTACGCCGTCAGTTCAATTTAACTGTAGCCTGCTTGGTCGGCTGCTCGGCGGTTTGAGCAATTGAGGCTGTGGGTAGACAGAGAAAAGGCCGGAAGAAGCAGGAGGTGGATATGGGCCTCATTTACCTGGCACGTTTGAGGCCTGGTCTTTAAGGCCTTTTTGCAAGGCATGTCAAAAATTGCAAAATTAAAAGTGCTTTTTTGTGCATATCTTGGGCCAAGAGAAGCTATCTGCACCCAAACTCAGTTGATGATGGCGTGGGATCTCTATATATGAGGACGGATATTGATTGATATAATAAATAGTCTCACCCTTGTATAGAAAATAACACAGATTCAAACCCTAAAAAGGTGCCTGTTGAGAGGTTTTTATAACCCCAACGTTCTTCACCCTTAGAGAGTAGTCTTAAATTTAAAATAATTTAGGCGTGCTTTGAATTCACACAAAACCAAAAAAGAAAAAGTTATGAGGGAGGCTTACTCCATAAAGGCACGAAGGTTATGGTTCATTTGTAAGCCAGGTTGGTTGTTGAAATCCACCACTGGCATTCAAGTGAGGGAGTTTATGACGAAACAAAAAGAAAATATATCAAATTCGCTTAGGAGGCATTTGGGAAGTACCTAAAACACTTTAAAAAAACAGTTGTTTAGTTTATCATATATTTATTTCAAATTCCGTAAAATCACTTTTAAAACTGTTGTTTAGTTTATCCAAATACTCTTTAAATGAGATGATCAATTAACATCGTGGTTCAATACTTGTCTTTTGTTCTACTCAAACATAAACAACGGATCAATTACTTTATATGAACACCATTTTTAGTTAAATTATTGCTCCAATGGCTGGTGCCTGAGCAAGTTGCAACTTTATTTAGGCATGCATGGTGCGTTGATATATTAATCATCACCTGGCCCAAAATTATAATAATTATGCCTTCAATTAATTATTCCCCACATCATCAAATTCATCGATTGCGCTTTTATCATCTTCCTCGTCTTTTGAATTTATCTTGAACTTTTCGACCATTGTTATAAGTTTTTTCTTATCTTGTATAGTTATCCCTGGGTTTTTGGCTACACTCGCTTTTCAATTAGGGCGTCAATATCTGGGTCCCATTCACTACATACTATTCAACGTAATTGAAAGCTGCACTGTTTTTAGAACTTTATGCCCTTACCAGAAGGGAAGTAGAATAATTGAACATAGATTCACGACTAATGTTTACTCTAAAGTTATTTATAATTTCAATTTTTATAACGAAATATTAAAAAAAAAAACAGAGCAATGGGCATATCGTACAAGATTCGTCAATGTATATAGTCTATTATTGTTATACTTCAGTAGTTGATATTGCAATGGGAGAGCCCAAGTATTTAAATGAGCCCGGGGTCGATCCAAAGCCCAATATATATACATATATTTATATATTGGTTTCAGAGGAAGCTGCAAAATACACCATCCAAAGTGCTGTTACTGCCATGTTAATGGTGAGAGTCATCTACATCCCCCGGCGCCGAAAATACCTGACCTTTTAATTTTGATTGTACCCAGCAAATTAAGACAAGTGGTATTCTAGCTAATAATATGGTACTCTATATATATATGTGTGTGTGTGAAATTGAAGGAGCCCACCCAACTGGGCAACAGACTCCAATGTAAAACAATTATGCTTCAATAATAGAAGGTTGTTGGTCTCCCTGAAAAGCTTTGTTTTCCAAGTCACGAAAAGCGTTAGCACGGCTGCTTCAGTTCAGCCCCACCATTGTAAATAGTTTAAAAATAACAATACAATTTTGAGAATCCACATTAATCACACAACTTCGAAGGCATCATAACCCAAACTTCCCAATGGGGCCTCCTGCCTCTGTTGAACAACTGCATATAATTAAACAGCCATAACCTTCACCTTAGCCCGCTCACCAAACCATGAAAGGAATGGACTTGTTCTGTTCTTCCCCTGCTTCCACTGCTGTAATCTCCAGTATGCACGTCCAGCGTTCTACGGTACGCCGTAGCCGCAAAAGCTACGGCCTCCTCGCTCCTGTGCCTTGTTCGTGTTCTTCCCTTTCCCCCATTAACCCAAGGCCTTCTCACGAGAAGCACGGAAAGAGTTCTGAAGATAAGCAAAACCATGACCGGATCCGCCGCAAAAGCCACGTTCAGCTTAACGACCTGTATACTCACTGTAGCTCTGCTTCTTCCACAACACACCTCCTCGCTGACTCTGACTCCTCTTTCATCCACACTGGTCACTCTCCTGCACTGCGCTCTTCTTCTTCGCCTCGCTCTCGGAACCAGGTGAGGCATGTCAATGAATCAAGTATATGTTCTTGGATCAGACATATGCCTACCCCGTCATCTGTTGTTATGACTATGGGATGACGGCGGCTCTCTTGTGTTTGTAAATTTGCAGGTTGTGGTTCTGAGGGTGTCATTGCACTGCAAGGGCTGTGCAGCGAAAGTTGGAAAACACGTTTCAAAAATGCAAGGTCAGATTTTGCCGAGGAACTGTGGGTTTTGTTTTTGATATTGAATGCATCAGAATTTTACGTGTTCTAGTGATTATTAATAACGCAGGAGTGACATCTTTTAGCATAGATATGGAGGCAAAGAAAGTAACAATTGTGGGGAACGTGACGCCACTAGGTGTCCTGGCTAGTGTCTCCAAGGTGAAGAATGCACAGCTCTGGCCATCTTCGGCATCCTCATCTATGGCCGTGGCCGGCGTATGAGCTATACTGGCTCTATCATAATTGCTTTTTTCGTTCCCTGTCATCATTTTACATGTGGATTATAGATTTATGGTCTGAAACGCCTTCCCAGGATCTGGATGCTTGTATAATTACTAGTTTGATGCCTCGTCGGGCTTCATGTTTGTCTTGTAATGTCGAAGCTCTAGGATGTTTTTCTTTATTCGCGAGCACAAGGACTCGTCTTCCTTTCTTTCTTTGGTTTCACTTTTAAAGATCATGATTGTGGCGCTCCCTTCCATGGTAGCTGCCAGTAAGTGCGTATGGAACAGAAAAGGGAAAAAACTGAGAAGTGGTCAGAGTGATCGATCATGCTAAACACTTCTTCTGCCCCTACCCCCATAAGCTGTAGATTATCGTCTGTGTTCAATAGACATTCAGTAGTGGAAGATTCTCCGGACACAATAACCGAACATCCACATTATTGCTTTGTTATGGAGTCCAATGGCTTAATTCTCCCCCGAAAGCCACATTTCTCGTCTCTAGCTGCTAACTCTAACCGTGTTTAACTAGTCTTACTATGCAATTTATTTATTTTTTGACTTGACGCACGTCGAAGCTTCGTTGTCAAGAATTATCACAATATGTCATGTCGGGAGAGCGATGGATTGATAATGGCGTCGGATAAAGTGAGCGGTGAAAGTCAGTGCTTTTTCGTGCGAACGTACATTCCCTGGAGTTGAGGAAGACGATGACCCAAGAGCATACTTTGTAGTTGCAGAGTCAAACATGCCGGCGGCTCGCACTTCCATTTTATGAATCCTAAATTCGGGTAAAACCATCGAAGTGGGGCTGCTTGATCTTCTTTCTTCAAAGGCAAGGGGGCAGCTTTAATTTCTTTGACGACGGAAAGAAGGGAGAGAAATCTGGAGGTTGAGTCGGTGATAGAATCGCTTTTTTGGGGAGGGAAGAAAATGCATGGAAGGCTGTTAGTCTAAGGAGCGCATTAACGAATTATTAATCAGAAAATGAGAAGAATAATGTGTGAACCAGAAAAAGACTAGCAGAAAGTACAAAAGGCGGGACCGCACGACTCGGAGAAAATGGAGGGGGGGCTATAATATGATATGTGCGTGATTTGATATGGATGAATGAAGAGAAAAGTGAGGTTGAAAAATGAATGGGAAGAGAGAAGGGTGATCATTATGATTCATATGTTGATGTGAAGAGCGGAGGCTTTTTTGTTGGGTTCTGCTGCTTTAAGAGACAAGTAGACCTATTTTATGAATTAAATTGCACATGAAGGCGACGTTAACGGATCTTACCATTCTTCCTTTCCCACATTCCAACCATTTCATCCCAAATTCCACAGCTTTCAGCTCCAACCAATTAGTTCCTTATGTTCACTTGCGATTTCTTTGCTTTTTTTCTTTTTAATATAACTAGATGGTGCTTCCTCTGCATTGCACGAGGGCGATTAATTTGCGTATGAAAAATTGAATCACATAAATGAACTGCTTAGTCTGTATACAACTACAAGTTCAAGATAGACTGCGATGGCGTATGTAATAATGACAAATGTACGGTAAAAAAAGAGAGTACAGTGTTTGTTGATATTGCTTATAACACCTCGTTTTATTTTTATTTTAATCTTAAATATAAAATTTTAATTTATTTTATCTTTTATATTTATCTACTTCTCCGGTCCTTAATATAGGACCCAATTGTTGAGTTAGTTTTGGTCCTAAATATAAGACCCATTTATCATATTTTTCAATTTTCTCTAAATTACCCCTATGGATACTCCCTCAATCATAATCAAGTAGAAGAGGAAGATGAGATATTAAGAAAGATGATTATGGTATTTTAGGAAAAACGTGTCACATTTCTTATAATTAACTAACTTATCTAACTTCCTTAATCTAATCAAATTAGTTAAATGGGTCTTATATTAAGGATTGAAGGAGTATTTTTTCTAGATAGTCATTATAATAATGATAGTTTTAATTAATATACTTGATTAGTAAGGATATTTTACGAAACATAACACCTGTTTATTACAAATAACTAATTTAACTTATTTCTTTTATTTATTCAAACCAGTCAACTATCTCTTATATTTAAGATCGAAGGTAGTATTAGCCACTTCATGAATTACCTCCACGTTTTAATACAATAGTATCTCATATACTTAATATGAGAACTAATTGACTGATTTAAATAAATTAATAAAATTAGTTAAATTGGTTATCTGTGACAAATAAGTGTTGTATTTCATAAAATACTTTTATTAGTAACTTGTATTAGTTAAAACTATCATTTGATGAAACATTTAGATACAATGATTACTTTGAAAAAATAGATAAATACTACATTTGGCTCTTAATATAAGAGCTCATTTGATTTTTATTTTGGTCGTAAATATAAGACACTGGTCCACTTCATCTCTCATATTTATTTATTTATTTTTAAAATAATTCTCATAATAATGTTAATTCTAATCAATATACTTGATCAACAAAAACATTTTAAGAAAGATAACACTTGCAAATAACTAACTTAACAAATTTTTTAATCTATTTAAATTAGTTAACTGTCTCTTATATCAAAAACCAGAAGTAGGATGAGAGATAAAATAAATTAAAGTTTTATATTTATAACCAAGTTAAAGGCGAAACTAACCTTCAACATTGTATAATGCTAAGCCACAAACACACACGTATATATAATTACGCACACGTAGCTACTTGCCCATGAAATTCAAAACCCAGAGATATTTGTACCAAAAAAAGTAAAAAAAAATCGGCCTAGGATCCACGGGCCATCCAATAGTAGAAAAAACTAAAAAGCGCCCACAAACTTATTAAATAACCAACTCTGGCATAAAAAGCGTATTATTATTATTATTATTAAATAAAACTTGATATTTGTTTGTATTTAATTTTTATCTTAAATTTATGAGTATTTTTCTAAAATAATTTTTACAATTAGATAATATATGTATAAATTTTAAGCTAAACATCATTACTGCTAATGTTATTATCACTTAGAATTTCATCTGATTCAAAATATAAAATAACATATTATTAATAATTTATGAATAGTGAGACTGTTGTTCTTCATGTTATTCTTATAAATGCGCTGATGATGATGATGATTAATATGGATGGATACTTTTAAAGAAATTATTTTTACATATTTATTTCATATAAAATAGAATTACTTAAAATAAATTAAATTTAAAGTATAAACGATGCACTTTAATTTAACACAATTATGAGTTACAAATAAAACAATAAAAAACAGAGCACATTTGATATTCGATAATACAAAACTACTTGTTTAACCCGTCAAACTTTGCGTTTTGCTAGTTTGATCCCGTCGCCAGCTTATTGCTTCTTTCCCCGCCGTCGGCTGCTGTCGCTGCTCCACTCCCAGAATAATATTTTGAGCCCTCCCTTCCGTGGAGTTCCGAGCTCTTCACTCCGTTACTGTCACTCACCGCTGCCGTCTCCGTCGACCTGGCTCTTTAACTTCCGGTCTCCAGCAGGTTCTTTCTCTCTCATTAGACCTTCCCCCTTCTAGTCCTTTCTTCCGTGCATATAAACTGGCACATTATTTTCTCCTCTTTTTCATGGTTAATTTCAGTACTTCTGGGAGTTTCATTTTTCCCTTTGTTGTCTGGGCAGCCAGTAACATAACAGGCTGTACGGGTGGTATTCAATTTTAAGTCGGAAGCTAAAAGTAGTGTAGTTGAAAGAATCATGATTTTAATGGCAACATGAACTGTGTTATATGAAGGGGAATGTATATTGGAATCATAATAGATCGAGAAGAAGATAAACTGTGCAGGAAGCGAACATGTGAGCAATTGGGGTGACAAAAGCAAGGATAATTGTATAGGAGGATCAAGCAAATACGGGCATTTCAAGAATGGATGAATTTCGACATGCAGGGATATATATATATATATATATATATATATGCATACATACTCACATTCATACACGGGGGGGAGTTTATAGGAATAGTAACTTGGGAACTTAGCTGTAATGCAAACATGTGGACAATGTAATGTTTTCCCCGAAGTGAATAATTGCCGTAATGTTCAAATCATATTATTATTTTTTGGAACAAAGATATTTAACGGGGTTAGGTCCGTTGCTAGTAGGATTTGAAGGGTATTGTTGAACTAACCTTTGTTTGTTTTATTGTCATGTTATTCCAGCTGATGCTTATATCCGGTTGAATTCATTGGAAGATAAATGTGATCATCAATCATTATGCCTGTTGAGATAAGCCAATTAAAGTAGCCCAGGGCTGTGGCAGTCATTTACACAGTCTCAACATTGAATATTTTGCGAAACTTGTTAACCATTTTTTCAGATTTTTTTGGGGGCCATTTTCCGTCCTTTGCCAAAGAGCCTCGTAAATATTTGAAATGATTAATATTACGTAACTCCTATTTCTTTTGAAAAAAAACTGAAATTAAAAAAAAATTGAGGTACTTACTGCTGCTCACTTCAATTTTTTTTTGTTTTGTTTTTTTTGGAAGAACCAGTTCAAGATTAAATTTTGGAAAAAAAATCACAGATGAAATATTTGAGGAAATAAAGAATGGATTTTTGCTCATTCTTCTAAGAAAAATAATAGTGTTTAGCTCATTTTGTTATGTGGTTCTACATCAGAGGATTAGGACTTTATCTCATTTGTGTTTAAATCATATGGATAGTTCATTTCTGAAATTGATTAAAAAAAATTGGGTACTTACTGCTGCTCACTTCAATTTTTTTTTTTGTTTTGTTTTTTTTGGAAGAACCAGTTCAAGATTAAATTTTGGAAAAAAAATCACAGATGAATATTTGAGGAAATAAAGAATGGATTTTTGCTCATTCTTCTAAGAAAATAATAGTGTTTAGCTCATTTTGTTATGTGGTTCTACATCAGAGGATTAGGACTTTATCTCATTTGTGTTTAAATCATATGGATAGTTCATTTCATCTGCTAGGATATTGATTATATATTGGGAGACTTACAGTGAGGTCTCAAAGAAGGAAAATAATTACAAAATAAGTCCCAGAAGTAGTCATTTCTTACTTTAAAACTTGTTATTACAGGCTATTTAAATTGTTACCGAGACTTTTTAGTAATTTTTTTTTTTTGGAGCCTCATTGTAATTCTCTCTTATATATTTGATATTATAAAGCGACTTCTCTTAGTCTGGTTATAGTTTTTGGTTTGTTTATTTTTTTTCAAGAAATAAATGTAAGAAGTAGAGTTGTTAACATCATGTTACATTATGTTCCATGATTATAGATAGATGTAAAGGTACATGCGTCCAATACTTTCGGCATAATTAGCATTATAGTGGTGCTTGACTAACTCGGAATGGTAATGGTGGTCTGAGAATCTCTAAAGACACTGAGCAAAGTGTCTGTTATGTGCATACTGAGGAACTCAGGTGAAAAATGATAAAATTATACTTAATTGAAAAAAAAAAGGTAAAAAAGGATAGTGAGTTTGACTTATTAGGTTCTAAAAGATAGATCTTTGAACTGGTGGAACAAAATGAGATAGATCTTTTTCTCTGGATAATTTATCACGAGCAAGCAAAAAGAAAGTTGGTAACATAATGGAAAGAGTTTTTATCGAATCTTATCATTTTAGTTTTTTTTTCTTGTTTCCTTTTTGCTGTTGGATAGATTTGGAAGTGCATAAAGTTTCATTGTAAGAATTTTTTATTGCTTTGCTTTCCATCCATTTTGAAGGGTAAAATATAACAAAGGAAAAATGTGTTCTTAGGGAACACCTCTTTGCTTGGC